ATATGATGCTACATACTCTACTTATTTAATAGGTTTGCTTTTTATTTTATATCTCTCTCCAATAGAGGGCAAGATCCCTGAATTCAGGGATTTTGTCTGTTTTATTCATGAATGTATCTCAGGTGTCTAGACGAGTCTAGCACATAGTAAGCACCTAATAAATATTTGATGAATGAATGAAAATCTGTTGTTTGCTTGCTCTGAGGCTTTTTCCCAGGGAATACTCACAGTTATATCTGAGGACAGGCCTGTGAGGCTTGTTTGTACTTTGCCGTTCTAATGAGTCAGAAAACTGTATAATCATAGGAAAAATAATGGTGTGCAATTTATAATGAAAAAATATACTTTTCCCAAGGACAAACAATCATGCTCAGACACGTTTCAGCTCTCCTACCTCAGAGAGAGTTCCCTGCCTGTTCATGAACTCCTTCCTGAGAGGGGGGAAGGTTTTGCATCTATATTTTTGTGAGTCACACCACCTCTATTCTTGACCTTGTTCACAAGTAGTCTTAATCCTCGAACTGTTGTAGATCTTGTGTAAAGAGCGTCAAGTCCTCTTTAGCACCACAAAAATGCTGCTCCTGAGACTGGAATGCTGAATAGAATTTCTATAAGTTCTGATAAATGTGTCGGGGTAGGTGGCCAGGAAATCTTACAGAAGGCGTTGTTAAAACCCCAAGTCTGGGGTAGACACAGTTCTGTCAAATCTAATCTGAGATAACAGAAGGAGTTATCAAGAGATATGGGTACATGAAGGCTCTGGATCTTCTGGAAGGAATGGATCCCTCTTCCTCTGCCCATCACACACTTAAACATTAAGTTCAACACACATATACTTTCAAAATTCTACCTCAGACTGAATAGCAAATTCTTTTATTTTCTACACATTCTTCTCAAGAGCCGTTCTTCTACAAAGCCTGTCACTGAAGCCTGAAAAAACAACTAATATTCATGGATTCTTTATGAATTCCATTGACTTCATTTCCTAAGAGAAACACACACACACACAATAAAACAAAAGAACAAGCAAGCAAGAAACCTCGGCCTCTGCTAGTATATTTGAGGAGTCGTCGTACTCTGTTAGGTCAAATTCACCGGCTCCTACCTGTGGCTGTGTGTATTTGCGCAGTTCCCTACTTCTCTCTGGAAGGGGCAGATATCCATCTATTGGCTTTTGATGTGCCATTTAAATTTTTAATGGGTTCTGAGGGTAAGGTTATATTTTCCTTCTTAGATTTCCTCCTCAAAAGCTCCTTTTTCTTCCCTTCTTGAGGTCTGTATTCCAATTTCTTTCCTGTTTCTGCTGCACAGTGGGGCGAGACGATGCTGCACTCGCAGCACAGTGTGGGTAGTAACAAGCCAAAACGAGGGGGTATGTCCAGGGTCAGATGCTGCGTGATGTGGGAGAGGTGAACTATCAGTGTATGGGGGTGAAAGCAGAGTTAGGGGCATGGTCAGGCTGGAGCTGAAGTTTTGGAAGATTTACTACTGATTGCTCAAAAGTCTTAGCGTCTTTAATTTTCCAGGACTCCTTACTATCCAATTTCTCTCAGGTATCAAGCTTTGGTTCTCTGGGACTCCTTTTTGCTAGGAAGTCTGTAGCTATAGTTTTCTATCTACTTTAGTATCAAAAAAGAGCTTTTCTGATCTTCGGAGAAGTAAGATAATGTCACTTCCAGTGTAGATTTTCCCTTGTTTCTCAAGGCCTCAAAAACAGCACCCTCTAGGGATGTTGTTCTTTGGGTGACCCAAAATTATCATTCATTTCTCACTTATGAGCAGAGAGTTGCCAGCTTTTATTTGCTGTATTAGGGTTTTTTTCAGGGAAACAGAACCAATAGGATATATGTAGATACATAGAAGGGGAGATTTATGATACAAATTGGCTCGTGCCGTTATGGAGGTCGAGAAGTCCCAAGATCTGCTGTCTACAAGCTGGAGAACCAGGAAAGCTGGTCATGTTATTCAGTTAGAGTCCGAAGGCCTGAGAATCCCAGGCCTAGTGGTGTAAGTGCCCACCTGAGTCTGAAAGCCCGAGAGCCAGGAGCTCTGATGTCTGAGGGCAGGAGAAAATAGTTGTGTCAGCTGAAGCAGAGACAGAGCTGGAATTTGCCCTTCCTCTGCCTTTTTGGTCTATTCTGCCCTCAAAGGATTGAATGATGCCTGCCCATGTGTCAATTAACCATCACACTTGCCTTTCCTCTGCCCATCACACACTTAAACATTAAGTTCAACACACACATACTTTCAAAGTTCTACCTGAGGCTGAATAGAAAATTCTTTTATGTTCTATACAAGAATGTTTATGTTCTATAAAAATTCTTCTGTATATGCACTTACAACCATCTCCTGGGAGTGGAGGAGGGAGTGTGTATTATAAAGTAGCATTGTTTCACAATTTTCCATTTCTTCTCATTTAGGCTGTTTACGCAGTTTGTGTTTCCTTTTCATTATTCCATAGCACCTCTTGAGCCCTGCTTCAGTGGTAATTCCCTCTTACGTGCCAGTCTTTCCCCCCAACTGAACCAAATCTGAAAAGTAACTTAATAAAATCCTAATTGTCGACTTCCTCCCTCTTTGGGCCAAAACAGAACCTCACAGAGGAAGGAACTCCTATAAATAACAAAGCAAGAGTGGTCTTATCTTGAAATGGCTTGACATTATCAATTCTATATGGTTGCCAATGCCCCAGTCATCTCAAGGGGGAGACTTTGTTAATGAAAGGACAGAAAAAGATGAACTGCCCTTTGAGAACATAAGCCAGCGATGGATGTCCTGGGAATGTGATTTTCCCAGTATCCCTAAAGAGTGTTGAGGCGTTACATTATGGAAGTGAAAGGAAATGCCTGCTTCCACGTTGAAACAGCCCAGAGCTTCATGTTTACAATTTCAATGGGAGAAAATTTCAATGGGAGAAAATGTTCTGAAAAACAGGGTAATCTATTTCGATTTTCTGTACTTTGCGCATGGAAGGTAGCAGGGCGCCACCATCTTCTCCAGGCTCTGGTTCCCTCTTCTCCAGCAGGCTGCATTGCTGGTTGTAGGTAATGCCTGTATCTTTGGCTCCTGCTGGGGGCAAGCTACTCCAGTGCCTTCTTCTTCCTTTTTTTGTTTTATATATACATTTTTATAGCTTTACTGGGCTATAATTGATATATTAAAAAACTGTGCATATTTAATGTACGCAATTGGTTGCGTTTGGACATAAGCATACAGCCATGATACCATCATCATAATCAAGGTAATAAACATATCCATGACCTCCAAAAGTTTCCTTACGTCCCTTCCAGTCTCTTCGTTTTTTTTTTTCAGAGCTAACATCTGTGCGCATCTTCCTCTATTTTGTAAGTGTGTCACCGCCAGAGCATGACCGCTGATGAGTGGTGTAGGTCAGCGCCCAGGAACTGGGCCGAGGTCGCCAAAGCAGAGCACGCCAAACTTAACCACTAGGCCATGGGGCCGGGCCCCCTTCCAGTGCCTTCTTGATGGGATTTTAACCATAAAGACTTTGACAATAAAGAATCGATCCTTCAAGAAAAATTCGAATGTTAAAAACCTTGGGAATACTCATAAAAATATAAAGCTACTTTTATTTGAACATTTATTAGACACCAGACAGTGTCCATTTTACAGAGGAGGAAACTGAAGCTTTGACAATTTTAGGACCTTGTCCAAGATCTCATAGTCTGACTTTAAGAAATATTTTTTTTTAAGTATGGTAAAAAAAAAAAAAAACACATAAAAAATATTTTACCGTCTTAACCATGTTTAAGTGTACAGTTCAGTAGTGAGGAGTCTATTGTCATTGCTGTGCAATAGATCTTTGGAATTTTTTATCTTGAAAGATTAAAACTTTGTACCCATCCAACAACAGCTCCGCATTTCAACGTCCCCCAGCAACTGGCAACCACCATTCTATTTTCTGTTTCTGTCAGTTTGACTGCTTTAGATACTTCATATACAGTATTTGTTGTTTTTGTGACTGGCTTATTTCATTTAGCATAATGTCCTCAGGGTCATCCATGTTGTAGCACGTGGCAGGATTTTTTTTATAAGGCTGAATAATATTCTATTCATTGTATGTATATACCACATTTTGTTGATCCATTCGTCTGTCACTGAACACGCGGGTTGCTTCCATCTGTTGGTGATTGTGAATAATGCTGCAATGAACATGAGTGTGCAAATATCTCTTCAAGATCTTGCTTTGGATTCTTTTGGATATATACCCAGAAGTGGAATTGCTGAATCATGAGGCAATTCTATTTTTAATTATTTGATAAACCTCCATACAGATTTCCATAACAGCTGCACCATTTTACATTCCCAACAGCAGTGTACGAGGGTTCCAATTTCTCTACATCTTCGCCAACACTTATTATTTTCTGGTATTTTTGGTTTTGTTAAAGTGCCATCCTAATGAGTGTGACATGATATCTCATTGTGGTTTTGATTTGCATTTCTTTAATGATTAGTGATGTTCAGTATCTTTTCATAGGCTTGTTCGCTATTTGTATATCTTCTTTGGAGAAATGCCTATTTAAGTCTTTAGCCCATTTTTAAATTGGGTTGTTTGTTTTTGTGTTTGTTGTTGACTTGTAGAAGTTCTTTATATATTTGGGACATTAACTGCTTATCAGGTATATGACTTGCAAATATTTTATTCCAACTCATAGGTTATCTTTTGACTCTGTTGACTCATGTGCAGAAGTTTTTCAGTTTGATGTAATTCCATTTGTCTATTTTTGCCATTGTTGCCTCCATAGACTGACTTTTAACCACTGTGACCATTTTATCATGTTGCTGAACCCAGGCATACTAGACAGCCACCTGCACAGAATATACAACATTTGCAATAACTTCACGGCTTTCTTACCAAAATTATTTCTAATGCTTGAAAATTTTCTTTTCTGTTAGGAGGGCCGGGGGTGAAGGCAGGTGAAGGAACAACAGTCTTGCCTGTGGTGTACTTAGAGACTTCCTTGGGTTGAATCTTTCTGCAAGATAAATCTCCATTTTGTTGTGGTGTTTAATATTAATTCTTATTGGTTGCAGGTTTGACTAGGCTTCTTTATCTTGTCTTGGTTGAAATTTATTTAAAACTTTCTGTACACCAGCCAGAGAGGCAGCACAGGGAGTGTGGTGGGAAGGGCCCCTGAGAGCTGAGAACTCAAGACAAGGGCTCCATTCTTGGTTCTGCTTCCTGGTGTTTCCCTCATCAATTTCCTCACCAGCAGAAGAACCCTACCTAGGGTTTCACAAGGGCAAAACAAGGTAATATAGGACAGAGAGATTTGTCTGTAAAGCAGACTCAGCTTCTAGTTCGATTTGTTACTGATTGATTTGCAGAAATGGAGTCTGCTGACAGATGAGACCGTTTGAGAGGATGAAGCAATTTCCTTCCTCTTCTCTAAGTTCATCTCCTAAACCCCACTGGACTCAAGCCCAGTTCTGGGATGACTATGGAGATCCAGACATTTCTGAATGTACATCCTGGTAGCCTGTGGCTGCTTCAACCACTGACAGTTTTGCTGCTGCTGGGTGAGTGAGGGTCATTCTGGAATAGGGTAATTTCAGTCACTTCTATGAGGCCTCTAGAGTAACTCTATGAGTTACTCTATTATGAAATAGAGTAACTAGAAACAGGCTCTTGAGATGGGCACTGGGGAAAGAAGGAGCCCAAGATGGCCTCCCCTTGCCCCTCTCCACACACCTACAACTACATTTGCTCTCCTCATCTTCTCCTGCTCTACACTGATCCACTCTCTTCTCTTTCACAGCTTCTGTACGCGGGGGAGCTGGTGAGTTTGCTCTTTGTTTCCTTGGGTTTATGGCATTATTGTCTCACAATGTGAGGCTATATTTACCATGTAGGGAAATATCTGTTCTACCAAGAACCAGGCTTGGGTTCAGCATGGGTGCTTCCCCCATTTTAGAGGCACCTGGGATTTGATTCTTGGTAGGATTCCCACTGGATCCACCAAAGACCTAAAGGGAATGAGGCTGCTACAAGTACACAGATCTTTAATTGGGTCTACAATAAAGGGGAGACTCTTTGGCCCCTGGTCTCCCCTGTGAACTCCTTTGGAATCCATGGTCCCTCCAAGGTTACTTATTCCCATCCCTTCCTACTCTCTGCCCCTCAGCAAATCTCCCAAAGGCTGTGGTGAGCCTTGAGCCCCCGTGGATCAATGTGCTCCGGGAGGATACCGTGACTCTGAAGTGCCAGGGGGCCCACACCCCTGGGAACGACTACACCCAATGGTTCCATAATGGGAGCTCCATCACAACCCAAGTCCAGCCCAGCTACAGCTTTAAGGCCAGAAACAACGACAGCGGAGACTACAAGTGCCAGACGGGCCAGACCAGCCTCAGCGACCCTGTGCATCTGGATGTGGTTTCTGGTCAGTGGAGGAAGTTCCCGGAAGGGCCTGGGAGGACAAGAGAGATGAAATCTGTTGGCGTGGCAGAAGTTTTTAGGAAACGGTGGTGGCTTGTTTACTGAGAAGCATCTCTGTGAGTTTTTTGAAGCAGTTTTTGCCCACTCCTTTCCTTTTTTACCAACGCCCTTTGCTTGCTGTGTTTGGTAATGTAACAGATTACATTATGTTGATCACCCAAGGACTAACTGAGTGAAAGTTCCTAAGAGAGTCCTCAGAATATGTTATGCTGTTTGGCCTCAGTCCTGATTGAGTAGGAAGGTTACAAAGCCACAAACAAGCAGCCGGGGGTGAGAGAAGCAGAAGGAAATTTCTGCTCCCTAAAACCATTCTACTCTCATGGCAGTGTGGTAAAACTCAGGGCCTGAAGGTAACCAGACTACAAAGGCCCTAAGCTGGGAGCGTGCCTGGCAGGCGTGAGTAGGTTGTTCTGCCCAGGGCGCAGGATGCCAGAGGGAGCTATGGATTCTGGAAGATGAAGTCAGAGGGGAGGGGGTCGGGAAAGGGTAGATCGTGTGGAGACTATTAGTCTGGTATGATGACTTTAACTTTTATTCCTGAATGAGATGAGAATTCATTAGATGGTTTTAATTAAAGAAGTCACATGATGGTACCTAGGTTTATGTATACATCTGACAGTGTTCAGGTTAATAGATTCTTTAGAAAAATTCTCCTAGACACTATATTACCCACCCCCCATGTCTGAAAATATGAGCAATTTATACTATAGTTGACTTCAACTGCACCTTGGTGTATAAACCCTGAAGATGGGCACATGTAAGCTTTCAGTGTTTTATGTTTACCATTGGGAGGATGATATTTTTTGTAGTCTTTTAAGGTCCCTGTGCCAGAGATCCTGGTGGTGGAGTCACTTTCTGTTGATGCTGCTCAATGGAAAGGGAAATAAATGTTGACTCAACCTCAAAAACTTGACCACAACTACCCATCTCTTCTCTTTGTGCATTGCCACCTCAGAAACAGCTGATTGTACTTCTGAGTTCTCCTACCAAAATGTTAATATATAGATTTAAGAAAGTTTAGATCTGAACGGTCATTAGAGGGAAACCGCCTAGTCCCATCCTCCATTGTACAAAGAAATTAAGCCCATGAGACCTAACAGCCCAGAAGTAAATGGTGGAGCCAAAATCAGAACCTGACTTCAGATTTCTGTCTCATGCTGTCTCAACAACAGTACCTTGCCTTTTGTATACAGGATACTGTTTTCTTAAATGAGTTTTCATTTAAATAAGATATACTAAATTCTAGAATTTATTTTTATAATAAATAGAGCAATTTGATTTTCTTCTCTAGGAAGTTTATTGAAACATTCTTGTTTTTTATTGTGGTAACAATGGTTTATAACATTATATAAAGTTCAGGGGTATATCTTTATACTTCTATTTCTGCATAGATTGCATTATGTTCACCACCCAAAGACTAATTACAATCCATCACGACATACATGCACCTAATCATCTCTTTCGCCCTCTTCCCTTCCCTTCCCCTCTGGTAACCACCAATCCAACCAAATTCTCTTTGTGTTTATTTTTTGTTGTTTTTATCTTCTACTTATGAGTGAGATCATATGGTATTTGTCCTTCTCCCTTGGAATTATTTCGCTTAGCATAATACCCTCAATGTCCATCCATGTTGTCACAAATGATTGGATTTCATCGTTTCTTATGGTTGAGTAGTATTCCATTGTGTATATATACCACATCTTCCTTATCCATTCAGCCTTGATGGGCACTTAGGTTGCTTCCAAGTCTTGGCTATTGTGAATAATGCTGCAGTGAACACAGGGATGCATGTTTCTTTACGCATTTGTGTTTTCATGTTCTTTGGATAAACAACCAGCAGTGGAATAGCTGCATCATATGGCAGTTCCTGATTTTTTGATGAATCTTCATACTGTTTTTCATGGTGGCTGCACCAGTTTGCACTCCCACCAGCAGTTGTATGAGTGTTCCCTTCGCTCCACATCCTCTCCAACACTTGCTGATTCCTGTGTTGTTAATTATAGCCATTCTGACAGGGCGTGAGGTGATATCTCATTGTTTTGATTTGCATTTCCCTGATAGTTAACGATGTTGAACATCTTTTCATGAGCCTGTTGGCCATCTGTATATCTTCTTTCGAGAAATGTCTGTTCAGGGCTTTTGCCCATTTTTTAATTGGGTTATTAGTTTTTTTGTTGTTGAGCTGTATGAGTTTTTTATATATTTTGGAGATTAACTCCTTATCAGGTATACGATTTGCAAATATTATCTCCCAATTGTTAGGTTGTCTTTTCATTTTGTAGATGGTTTCCTTTGCTGTGCAGAAGCTTTTTAGTTTGATGTAGTCCCATTTCTTTATTTTTTCTATTGTTTCCCTTGCCCAGTCAGACATGGTGCTTGAAAATATGTTGCTAAGACTCATGTCAAAGAATGTACTGCCTATGTTTTCTTCTAGATGTTTCATGGTTTCAGGTCTTACATTCAAGTCTTTAATCCATTTCGAGATAATGTTTGTGTATGGTGTAAGATAATGGTCTACTTTCCTTTTTTTGCATGTGGCTGTCCTGTTTTCCCCACATCATTTATTGAAGAGACTTTCCTTTCTCCGTTGTATGTTCTTGGCTTCTTTGTTGAAAATTAGCTGTCCATAGATGTGTGGGTTTGAAACATTCTTTATAGACTTGTCCTCCAAGATAGCCAAATTTTGGAATCTGATTACTCTGCCATCAGTGAAGGGAGGGGGTGGTTGTGACTGGGAATGTTTGTAAGCAGGGAGGAAGAATTGATTTTAAGTTAAAAGCTTTCTTTAATGCTCGTCTTGTTCAGAGTAACAATTGAATACTGAATTCACAAGGACACACATTTTCATTTCTTATGTGGATGGAAATTCCATTCAGGGTGGGTGAGGCATTATTAAAGCTCCATTTTGTTGCTAATATGGAGAATGGCTCCCCACCCTCATTTCCCAAAATTGTTCAAAAGTTGCCATTAAATTAGTAATTCCCCGACCACAAATGCTGTATCCACACAAACTGAAGGTTTCAGGTCCTGTTCAGCAACCTCTACAGTTACTGAAATGCCCTCATTTCCTTACTCCAGTATAGTGTTTTTAATGTCTCAAAATCACCCTGCACCCCTGGGCCAGAGAGTGGTGTTCCTGCCATTCATCTTTGGAACTTCTGAAAACTGTCCTTCAGAGGTCCCACAGATAATGCCATATTTGCCTGTAAGAGAATGCTCACACCTGCCATGAACCACCTTCAATTCCTCTGCTCCACATCTTTTCAAGAGTACTCAAATGAGTAATGTATCCCCAAGGACGAGGCTCCAAGTGCCTTGGTATCCAGCCTTAGAACTTTTCCTTCCCATGTTGTGTCTTTCAGACTGGTTGCTGCTCCAGACCACTCGCCTCGTGTTCCAGGATGGGGAGCCCATCCTCCTGAGGTGCCACAGCTGGAGAAGCAAGCCTCTGTACAAGGTCACATTCTACCAGAATGGAAAATCCAAGAAGTTTTCCCATCTGAATTCCAGCTTCTCCATCAGACAAGCAAACCTCAGTCACAGTGGCATGTACCACTGCACGGGAGTTATAGGGCAAATGCTGCACACGTCACAGCCTGTGAATATCATTGTCCAAGGTGAGAACCAAGGCTGTTCAAGGGGCTTCAGGCCTTGGAAGGATGGGTAGGGAGAGGATTACTGATCTTTTTTGGACTTCAGTACCTGTCTTCTCCTGAGTGGGCCTCTTTGATGTCAACAGGAACCCTTAAAGTCCTAGCTTGAACTGATTGCTGTGTGGATGCGTAGCTCTGTTCCAGCTCATTCCTCGGGGATTATAGAAATGGGTGTCATTCACTTGAAGTTTTAACTGTCAGGAGACAGAGTCATCCCCCCAAATCTGTCTACCAGACATAACCACCCTCCCTCTTTCCCACCTCATTCAAACCACTCCACCTTGTCATATGTCTCTCTTGTCTCTAGGATTCTGAGGCTTCTCGTGCCTCCCTACTAACCCTCTCAGGCTAGGCTCAAAGGTAAGCTGGGGGCAGCCATGTTGGCATGAGAGTCTCTCTGCACATGCAAAGAACTAGGCTTCCATCTGTTCTTGAGAAATTGCGCATTGTGAAATCCATATCATGCCCTTTCAGGAGGCATCACAAGCTATTTATGCCAGACTAGCACTGGTCAGTGAATACCACCCATCCTGGGATCAGAGGAGGTGGCGAGTGACCATCTGTTGGTGTGGTCTGTGGATGTCCTAGTTCAATGTTTCCCAAAGGCTGTTCCCCAGTCACATGACTCTTTGAGAGGCTTTTCAGAATGAACAATTCTGTGGCCAAATTAATGCAGAACATGCTGCATATTCTGTTCCTCTCCTTTCATCTTCATAGTGCACATTCAATACTTCCTGAAGTCCTATTGTAAAAAATACTTTTAAAGTAAGTTTTATGAGGCATTTGCCAAACCTAGGTGACCACAAAACCTTTTTCCTCTATAACTTCTACTAATGTCCCTTAGAACAGATGTGTCCAAGGTCAGCCTTTGGGCAATGCTGATCCAGAGCTTTATTTGGGAAGGCAGAGAGATGAAGAAATGCTATGAAGACTTCCTGGGCTACCTGTCTGCGCTTGGCCTTGGCCTTAGCTCCTGGCTTGGGTGACTTCACAAAGGCTCCCCAACAGGCCCTGACTGTGTATTCCAAATTTCTGCCTTAACACTTGTCAATCTTCTCATCCCTGTGCCTCTCCTATTAGGTCCGGCAGCTCTATTCGTCTTTCCACCTTGGTATCAAATCACCTTCTGCCTGGTGATGGCACTCCTGTTTGCAGTGGACACGGGGCTGTATTTTTCCGTGCAGACAGACCTTTGAAGCTCAATGGGAGACTGGAGGAATTACAAAGTCAGATGGAGCCAGGCCCCTGAGAACAAATGACCCCTCATCCCATGGTGTAACAGCAGCATCTCTTCAGGCCCTACATTTTCTCCTCCCCCAACCGCTATCTGACAGCATCCTGGGCTAAGGAGCCTCCAACCACCATTTAGTCTCCAGGGAAAAGAAGGACCTGTATCTCCACAGTTAAATTCCAACAGACCCCACACTCACAGAGTTCCTGAAGGTCAAGGCACAGTCCAGCCCACCAGGCTCTACAAGGACTCACAGCAAACACCCACACTGTTTTCATAGACCCTAGACAGAGGCTCCTCAAATATACAAAACTCAGTGAATCCTGCTTCTACTTTCAAAATAAATCCAGCAATCTGACCGCTTCTCAGTACTCTACTGCTGGCACCTTGGTCCAAGCTACCATCATCTCTCACTTGGGTTACTGCAATAGCTTCCTCATTGGTTTCCCTACACTCACCCTTGCCACCCGACAGACTGTTGTCACCACAACAGCCAAAGTGATCTTTTAAAAATGTGTGTTGTATCTGTCACTTCTGTGCTCAAAGCCATGCAATAGCCCCTTGCTATTAAGAGTAAAGCTAAAGCCTTTGCAATGTTCTACAAGGAGCTACATGATCTTGCTCCTCACTGCCTCTCTGACCTCATCTACTGCTCTTCCTTGCTTCAATGAACACACCAATTATACTTCTGCCCAGGACTTATGTTATTACCTGTTTCTGGAACGTTCTTTCTTACAGATCTCCACATCACGCTCCATCATGGTCTTGACTCAAATGTCACCTTATCAGTGAGGTCTCCTTGATCATTCAGTATAACCCCACTCTCCCACCACCCCCTAATGCCCCTCTCCTGCTTTAATTTTCCTCATTGTACTTATTACCTACAGATGTATCATACGCTGACTTGTTTAATTGTTTATTGTCTCACTATGCCAACTGCCATCAGAATGTGAGCTCCAGGACAGCAGGCCTTTGTCTATTTTGTTCACTAATGTATAGCTAGAGTCTGGGTCAGTGTCCGGCACATGACAAAGTACTCACTAATTTGTGGCATGAGCAAACTCTTGAGCATTTGAAATCAGAGAATTTTAAAGCTAGAAAGTCCTTAGAAATGATGTGGTCCAGTCTCCTCATTTTAAAATTGAGTAAGCTGTGGCCCAGATGGGTGAAATGACTTGTTAAGGATATACAGGCAGTTGGTGTCACAGACCTTTATATAAACTGTTTTGGATCACACTGTATGTTTGTTCTACAACTTGCTTTTTGTACTCAGTGTTGAGTCATCAGCATCCCTCCACTTCAAAATGTCTATTTAAGTTATCACTTTAGTATCTGTTCTACTTTTAAAGATACTCAAACTAAGCTGCTAAACATAAATGGATACATGTAAGCATATGTATAAAGTTAGCACTGCATACATAAACTCCTCTGTACTTGAACCTCTCTGAATTAAAAAGTAAAGAGAATGACCTTGGAAGAATGCCTGTGTGATGCTGTGGTTAATGTGCAGGCACAGAGGTGCTTGCTTTAGGGCTTTACCTGGAACTCTTGGGGCTGCGAGGGTAGGTGGCGTTTTGAGGCTGCTGAGGGCTAGGAGAGAAGGTTGGAGGAGCTTGGACAAGGCAGTCCCTGAACAGACCAGTGCACAGACCCCAGGCCAGGCCGCCTTTTGCCTTCTGAGGTGAGGACCTTTCTCTTCCAGGTTCTTGGCCAAAATGTCTGGACTCTCACATCCAGGCTTAGACTCTGAGAGTGAATGAGTTTAAAGCTGAAGCTTCTCTTCCTCCTGGAGTTATGAAATAGGTTCCTTCTTTTTGAGGATGGCTTGATTTTCCACTGTGGAAGTCACTCATTGCACACTTCTTCAAACATGCCCTTTTTTCCTCAGACTGATCACCTTCCCGGCATAGTTGGATCTCTGTCCCAGCAGACTTTGCCAGCTCTTTCTCACTGGCACACTGGGAGAGGGTTGAACAAGAAATCCAGTCCAGAAGGGGGACTGACCTCTGCATCCTGACTCCCTCCTCCCTCTTCAACGGCCCCAAGAACTTTCCAAAGGATTCTGAGCCATTTGAGGAGAATAGAGCCACTTACCAAGCAAGGGTTTTAGTTTCTCTTTGTAAAAATTAGTTTACCTTGAATGAGGCAAATAATATATTACATCCAATACACTAGTAAAGTTTAACGTTAGAAAGTATGACGTTCCCCATAGATACCGCCCTCGTTAGTACAGCGGTGAGTATCCCCGCCTGTCAGCCGAGAGACAGGAGGCTCCTTTTTCCTCCATTTCCACCCTCTGGTCTCCGAAAAGGCTCCTCCTTTTGGCTTCTCAGTAGAAGTCCACGCCAAGTAGAAACACTAGAAAACTCCAATAGGTTGTTCTGGATTAAAGAAAGTGAGACATGGCTAAGATTCAATTCGTAAGGCTGCAGGACGGACGGGAACTAGGATGGCTTTGCTGACCAATCGACTCCCCTCGCCCTCTGGCTTGCAGAGCATGGGATGGCCTGTGGCCTGCAGGAGTTTACTCCCGACCTCAGCCCTGGCCTCAGAGGAAAACGCACACTGTGCTTCCCAATCTGCCTTTGGGTACCATGCTCCTCGGGAATATGAGCGATAGGCATCGACAACAGGAGCGACATTCCACCACAGTTCATCTGCATCCTCCTTCCCCGTGTGCTGAGTTCTCTCCAGGGTGGGGCGGCGACATCACCCCCGAGTCCACGCGCCACAGCGCCAGGTCTCGTCTCCCTTCAAGAAAGCGACTTCGTAGAGGATGGGGAGCCAAATCAAAAGAACCTAGCCTTCAGCTAACTGGTTCGTTTAGTTCAGTGTTGTAAGTCCTGCAACAGGAAAAAAAAAATTAAAATGAGTATTTGGAAGGAAAAGGTCACGGAACATTAGGCTGTTAATCGAACCCAGGCCTACAGGGTGTCAGGCGGGAACGCTATGACTGAACCAGCAATGCAACTCACAAACAGTACTTTCCGGCGCTCTCTCTTAACCTCATTGCCGTCCCTAGCTTCATTCCGCAACCAGAATCAGGCCGCCCATCTGTCACAATTGCGAAAATACTGCTTTTAAGTTTCAAGACAAAAAAATGTTGAGACAAAAAAAATAACTATTTAAACTCCCAGCTTGGAGACCACGGCTCTATTCGCACGGTAACATACTTTCAGCTTTTCCCGAGCCGCCGGACTCAGGCCGGCTGTCTTCAGCCAACAGGGGGAGAACTAGTTCTCTTGGGAAGTTAGGCCTTCACTGGCTTCTGCCGCAACCCACGGCCCCTAGAACCAGCCAGGAGAAGCTGCCACTTTCTCCGCAGCTCCGAGTCAGGGGCGGGTGGGGCCAGCGCGGCCAACCCGCGCCCCGCCTCGCACGGCCGGAGCCGCGCGAACCTGCTCCCCGAGTCAGCGCGGCGCCCCCCCGGCTGAGTCAGCCCGCGCGGGGGGGGTGGGCGGCTCTGGGCTCTCCGCGAAAGCGCCGGCAGGTTCGCGGCGGCGCGGGCGGGCGGAGGCGCGTCCCCGGAAAGTGGATCTAAGGCTCGTGGACGCGGAGCCGGGCAGAGCCGAGCTGGGCTTGCAGGACAGAAGGCGAGCGGAGAGCGGCGCAGCGGAGCGCGCCTCGACGGTCGAGCAGCACCAAGTGCCGCAGTCTCGCGTATCAGACTGGTCCCCAGGAGCGCGAGAAGCCGCAGCCATGTGGGCCCGAGGGAAGTGGCGATAGGCATCGACCTGGGCACCACGTACTCATGTGTGGGCGTGTTCCGGCACGGCCGCGTGGACATCCTCGCCAATGACCAGGGCAGCCGCACGACGCCCAGCTGCGTGGCCTTCACCGACACCGAGCGGCTGGTCGGAGATGCGGCCAAGAGCCAGGCGGCGCTGAACCCGCGCAACACCGTGTTCGGCGACAAGCGGCTGATCGGGCGCAAGTCTGCGGACGCGACTCTGCAGGCGGACGCGAAACACCGGCCCTTCCAGGTGGTGAGCGAGGGCGGCAAGCCCAAGGTGCGCGTGTCCTACCGCGGGGAGGACAAGGCGTTCTACCCCGAGGAGATCTCGTCCAGGGTGCTGAGCAAGATGAAGACGGCCGAGGCGTACCTGGGCCAGCCGGTGAGGCACGCTGTGATCACGGTGCCCGCCTACTGCAACGACTCGCAGCGCCAGGCTACCAAGGACGCGGGTGCCATCGCGGGGCTCAACGTGCTGAGGATCATCAACGACCCCACAGAGGCCGCCATCGCCTATGGGCTGGGCCGGCGGGGCGCCGGAGAGCGCCGCGTGCTCGTTTTCGATCTGGGCGGGGGCACCTTCGACGTGTGGGTCCTCACTATTGACGCTGGTCTCTCTGAGGTGAAAGCTACGGCTGGAGACACCCACTTGGGCGGGCAGGACTTTGACGACCGGCTGGTGCACCACTTGACAGAGGAGTTCCGACGGAAGCACGGGAAGGACCTGCGTGGGAACAAGCGGGCCCCACGCAGGCTTCGCACGACCTGTGAGCACGCCAAGCGCATCCTGTCCTCCAGCACCCGGGCCACTCTGGAGATCGATTCCCTGTTCGAGAGCGTGGACTTCTACACGTCCATCACTCGAGCCCGCTTTGAGGAACTGTGCTCGGACCTTTTCCAGAGCACCGTGGAGCCAGTGGAGAAGATCCTGCGGGACGCCAAGCTGGACAAGGCCCACATTCATGACTTGTTCCAGTGGGCGGCTCTACTCACGTTCCCAAAGTGCAGAAGCTGTTGCAGGACTTCTTCAACGGCAGGGAGCTGAGCAAGAGCATCAACCCGGATGAGGCAGTGGGCTATGGGGCTGCTGTGCAGGCAGCAGTGTTGATGGGGGACAAGTGTGAGAAAGTGCAGGATCTCCTACTGCTGGACGTGGCTCTGCTCTCCCTGGGGCTGGAGACAGCAGGTAGAGTGATGACCACGTCGATCCAGAGGAATGCCACCATCCCTACCAAGCAGACCCAGACTTTCACCACCTATTCAGACACCCAGCCTGGGGTTCTGATCCAGGTGTGTGAGGGTGAGAGGGCCATGACCGGGGACAACAACCTGCTGGGGCTCTTTGAGCTCAGTGGCATCCCTCCTGCCCCTCGTGGGGTCCCCCAGATCGAGGTGGCCTTTGACATCGATGCCAATGGCATCCTGAATGTGGTGGCCACCGATAGGAGCACAGGCAAGGCCAACAAGATCACCATCACCAATGACAAGGGCCGGCTGAGCAAGGAAGAGGTGGAGAGGATGGTTCATGAGGCTGAGCAGTCCAAGGCTGAGGATGAGGCCCAGAGGGACAGAGTGGCTGCCAAAAACTCCGTGGAGGCTCATGTCTTCCATGTGAAGAGCTCCTTGCAAGAGGAAAGCCTTAGAGACAAGATTCTTGAAGAGGACAGGAGCAAAGTACAAGACAAATGTCAGGAAGTCCTTGGCTGGCTGGGGCGCAATCAGTTGGCAGAGAAAGAGGAGTATGAGCATCAGAAGAGGGAGCTGCAGCAAATCTGTGGTCCCATCTCCTCCAGGCTCTATGGGGGGCTTGGTGTCCTTGGGGGTAGCAGTTGTGGAGCTCAAGCCGGCCAGGGTGCCCCCAGTACTGGCCCCGTCATTGAACAGGTCGACTGAATGGCCCCTCCTGACAAGTCAGCTCTGACTGTAAGGGCTGGGCTTATGGGCCCCCTAGACTTCTGTGACCCTGCCCTGTAACTACAGGAACGAAAGTGGAGGGGAATCTTCCCCCCAAACAGGATGCTTTCTTCTGACTATGTTTTATAACTGAGGTCTTTGTCCTTTGACTTTTTTTTAATCCTCTTCTCTCACATTAAACAAGCAGAACTAATTATTATTCATGTGTGTGGCATGTTAACATTGCTATTGCCTACATTTTGTGTATTTTGTTACTTGCGTGTATGGATTTTGTTATGTGAAATATAGTTCTAAGTAAACTTTTAAAGCTCCTTCTTAGTTTTCATTCCAACCAATTAAGTACATGAAGGGGCAAGGCTTTCAGAAGCAGAAAATGCTGGTGGGTGTCTGAAGGAGGGATGTGAAGAAAATTCACAAGGCTGTGTGAGATTTCTATTGGCGAAAACAGGGTAAGGGGAAGAGTTTGAGACAGGCACATTGAACAGTAAGGAAATGTGAGGGCTCATAGGAGAACTGTGACTTGTACTGTCAGGTTTACTAGGAAGCTGTTTCTTCTTCTCCAGGCCCTTTATCTGGTGATGTCTGTCCACTCCACATCCCTAGTTAATATGGAAAGTTCATGTCTAATTAGCAAACCACAACTGGTATTGCCTTTGGTATTCACATAGAACACTCTCCCATTTATGTGTAATCTGGTTCTCAAAATATCAAGTCCTCCTAATGATCTGTCAGGAAGAATTCTCTGACCTTGGCACTTGCTGCCCTCTCCTGAACACAATGCTTAATTTGCCCTTTAAATCCATGAAACTCCTGCCATAGACATTCTTGCTAATCAGCATATCAACACCCATTCATCCATCCTGATCCCATTGGAACCCTTTCTGTTGGGCTGGCCTGCTTGGTATTGCTACTGGGGGAGAAGCACTAAACAGATGCTATAGTATTCAAAATTCAGTCAATCAATGGCAACATTGCCATTGTTCTGTGAGTTACAGAGAGCACCTTAAAGCCAGTTACTTTGATGGTTTTCTAGGTAAATATCATCTTGATTGTGCTCAATGGTGGTAAACTTCAGGGACTAAATTGTTGATTCATTTATCAGTTGTTGTGGATGCGGTAATGCTCTTTAAGTTCTGGCCTGCAAGGACGCCCTCGTCGCATGTCCTGATGAAAGAAAATTTAAAACACCTAAACTTTGGGGGAATATTTCTTTCCCAAAATATAATTTTAATGAAGTTGGCAAGGAAATTCTTTTTGACAGTTATTAGATAGAAGAATCAGTAATTGAGGCCAGTCAGTTTAGAGTTAGAGTAATAAAGTCTGATGCTCAATAAATGTGCCATTTACACAATTCAGCCAAAATCAGTGTTATGCATCTATTAGGATCTCTGCCCTAGGGAAACTTTCAATCTGATGATCTTATTCTTGAATTATGGAAGGACAAATAACTGAGGCAATTAGAGAAACAGATATAGCCTGTAAGTCTTGAGGGGGAAGTGCAGATGAGTGAATGCAGGCAGTGAGGTGTAATGGGACCCAGACTTCAGCACTGGAGAGAGGTATGTCCTGGGTCAACTCACAGCCATTGTCCGCGCTATGGTTTCCTCATTTATAGAATGAAGGGAATGGACTTCATCATTCTATCCGTGTGATTCTATAAATGAATCTTCTGCCCTTACATTCTGGTGTCGGCAGCTTGAATCACCTGTCACCAGCTGTCACATTTCACACTTTTTTTGCAAAGCAGAAACCTACCACACAATTTATCATAAATTCAAGTTTCGAAACAAGATTCACACACGTTAGTACCCTTGCATCCAGAGTGACTGAGAATGTTCTGGTGATTATTTAAGTGATGCTAATTTGAACCACCAAGATCCAAACTGTAGCAGTAACAATTTCATTATAATAAGTAATAACTGCAGCTACCCTGGTTCAGGCCTCCATCTTCTCTTGCCTGAATTAGTGCAATAGCCTCTTCACTTGTCTGCCTGCTTCCCCCCTCACCACCCTACAGTCTATTTGCAACACAGCATTTCAGAATGATCCTTTTAAAACATAAGTCAGATCTCATCTCTCCTATGCTCAAAATCCTTCCGTGGTTCCCCTCTTTATTCAGAGTAAAAAGCTAACGATTTCACAGTGCTTGCATGTGATCTGGTCTCCCTTGTTCCCTCTGACCTCATCATTTACTACTCTCTCCCTTACTCAGTTCCACTCCTCCAAACAATTCCTTGAACATTCCAGACCTAAAGCAGTTTCAATCTGTTAAAAAACAAGACAACAGGCCCAAAATGGAGTTGCTTGTGCTAAGCTCCTCGTCACTAAACCGAGTCTTAATTACAGTTTTGGCTCTTTCAGAAATGGAATCTTAAACCAGTCAGTCAGGAATCACTTGATCAGCTCTTGTTAGGTAATTTGCCTGATAGACCTCTGTCGTCCCCTAAATGAAAGTAACATTGCTTTACCAATCTGCTTCTTTGCCTGGTATAACTTCCTTGTGCCTGCTCCTTCTGGCTTCAAAAGTCTTTCATTTTGTACAGCACCTTGGAGCTCCTTTCTGTCTGCTAGATTGGATACTGCCTCATTCAAATCGATTTTTGTTCAGATAAACTCTTAAAATGTTTAACATGCCTCAGTTTGTCTTTTAACAGATCCCCTGCCTGACTGTTCCATCTGTTTGGAATGTTCTTTTGCTAGATATGCACTAGCCCAGTTCCTCTCATCTTTCAAATCTTTGCACAAATGTCACCTTCTCACCATATGTAAAATTGCAATCCACCCCCAACTTCAAATCCCCTTCCCTTGCTCTTTTTTCCCCCATACCCCTTATATGATGCTATATACTCTACTTATTTAATAGGTTTGCTTTTTATTTTATATCTCTATCCAACAGAGGGGAAAATCCCTGAATTCAGGGATTTTGTCAGTTTTATTGATGAATGTGTCTCAGGTGTCTAGAAGAGTCTAGCACATAGTAAGCACCTAATAAATATTTGATGAATGAATGAAAATCTGTCGTGTGGTTGCTCTGAGGCTTTTTCCCAGGCAATACTCACAGTTATATCTGAGGACAGGCCTCTGAGGCTTTTTTTGTACTTTGCCATTCTAATGAGTCAGAAAAATGTATAATCATGGGAAAAATAATGGTGTGCAATTTATAATGAAAAAATATACTCTTTCCCATGGACAAACAATCATGCTCAGACACGTTTCAGCTCTCCTACCTCAGAGAGAGTTCCTTGCCTGTTCATGAACTCCTTCCTGAGAGGGAGGAAGGTTTTGCATCTATATTTTTGTGAGTCACACCACCTCTATTCTTGACCTTGTTCACAAGTAGTCTTAATCCTCGAACTGTTGTAGATCTTGCATAAAGAGCTTCAAGTCCTCCTTAGCACCACAAAAATGCTGCTCCTGAAACTGGAATGCTGAATAGAATTTCTATAAGTTCTGATAAATGTGTCGGGGTAGGTGGCCAGGAAATCATACAGAAGGCGTTGTTAAAACCCCAAGTCTGGGGTAGACACAGTTCTGTCAAATCTAATCTGAGATACAGAAGAAGATATCAAGAGATATGTGTACATGAAGGCCCTGGATCTTCTGGAAGGAATGGATCCCTCTTCCTCTGCCCATCACACACTTAAACATTAAGTTCAACACACATATACTTTCAAAATTCTACATCAGACTGAATAGCAAATTCTTTTATTTTCTGCACATTCTTCTCAAGAGCCATTCTTCTACAAAGCCTGTCACTGAAGCCTGAAGAAACAACTAATATTCATGGATTCTTTATGGATTACATTGACTTCATTTCCTAAGAGAAACACACACACACACAATAAAATAAAAAAAGAAGAAAGCAAGAAACCTCGGCCTCTCCTGGTACATTTGAGGAGTCATCGTACTCTTTTAGGTCAAATTCACTGGCTCCTACCTGTGGCTGTCTGTATTTGCACATTTCCCTACTTCTCTCTAGAAGGGGCAAATATCCATCTATTGGCTTTTGATGTGCCGTTTAAATTTTTAATGGGTTCTGAGGGTAAGGTTATATTTTCCTTCTTAGATTTCCTCCTCAAAAGCTCCTTTTTCTTCCCTTCTTGAAGTCTGAATTGCAATTTCTTTCCTGTCTCTACTGCACAGTGGGGCGAGACCATGCTGCACTCTCAGCACAGTGTGGGTAGTAACAAGCCAAAACGAGGGGGTATGTCCAGGGTCAGATGCTGGGTGATGTGGGAGAGGTGAAATATCCGTGTATGGGGGTGAAAGCAGAGTTAGGGGCATGGCCAGGCTGGAGCTGAAGTTTTGGAAGATTTACTACTGATTGCTCAAAAGTCTTTGCGTGTTTAATTTTCCAGGACTCCTTAATATCCAATTTCTCTCAGGTATCAAGCTGTGGTTCTCTGGAACTCCTTTTTGCTAGGAAGTCTGTAGCTATAGTTTTCTATCTACTTTAGTATCAAAAAAGAGCTTTTCTGATCTTCGGAGATGTAAGACAATATCACTTCCAGTTTAGATTTTCCCTTGTTTCTCAAGGCCTCAAAAACAGCACCCTCTAGGGATGTTGTTCTTTGGGTGACCCAAAATTATCATTCATTTCTCACTTATGAGCAGAGAGTTGCCAGCTTTTATTTGCTGTATTAGGGTTTTTTTCAGGGAAACAGAACCAATAGGATATATGTAGATATATAGAAGGGGAGATTTATGATACAAATTGGCTCATGCCGTTATGGAGGTCGAGAAGTCCCAAGATCTGCTGTCAAAAAGCTGGAGAACCAGGAAAGCTGGTCGTGTTATTCAGTTAGAATCCGAAGGCCTGAGAATCCCAGGCCTACTGGTGTAAGTGCCCACCTGAGTCTGAAAGCCCGAGAGCCAGGAGCTCTGATGTCTGAGGGCAGGAGAAAATAGTTGTGTCAGCTGAAGCAGAGAGAGAGCTGGAATTTGCCCTTCCTCTGCCCTTTTGGTCTATTCTGCCCTCAAAGGATTGAATGATGCCTGCCCATGTGGAAATTAACCATCACACTTGCCTTTCCTCTGCCCATCACACACTTAAACATTAAGTTCAACACACACATACTTTCAAAGTTCTACCTGAGGCTGAATAGCGAATTCTTTTATATTCTATACAAGAATGTTTATGTTCTATAAAAATTCTT